TGGCGGACCTTGCTTGGCTAGTGGCCCAACGTGCTTCCGAGTGAACGCGGCCAATTGCAGAACCTTGGTGAAGCCATGCAGGGGTGCAGCACTTTGGATTCTACGTCAGGGTGCTCTTTGCGCAATGGTCTCTGCGATCTTGCGACCGGGCGAAGCCCGGGTGTGGACGCATGTGTCACTTCGCTTCTAAAAGAAGCAAAGGATTTTTCTGCCTAACTGGGGGTGGAAAGTGAATTGGGGGTGGGGTGTTGGGTGGGTTTTGATGGCAGTCCTCTATGTGACTTTGACATTGTGGGATTGGGCGTTGATGACAGCAATCTCTGTGACTTTGACCATGATTGTAGATTGAAGCTTTGACAACAGTCCTCTGTGTGACTTTGACTTGTGTGATTGGACTTTGGTGACAATCCCCTGTGTGACTTTGACTTGTGGGATGCCCAGAGTGTCACCCCAATGGTTCTTGCAATTCAAGTCCTACTACAAAACGCAAAAAACAATGTAGCAACTGTAGAACAATTATGATAGCAGCGCATCAAATTTCACAACAACGTGCCGCACAACTTGCTGCTGTAAAGTGAATATGGTACTGGAAGCACAACGCACGCCTGCTCATTTGTTTGCTTGATCACTGCCTCTACTTTCCTTTCAATCTTTTTTGTTCCTCTCCTCTTTCCTGTTTTTAAATACAAGACCAGACTCAGATCTCGAGAGAGAGAGAGAGAGCGAACGGGAGCGCACATCTTTGTCAGAGATTGTCATGGCCTGTGGCTGCCCGATGAGTGTGGCCAGCAATTTCACTGCAGCCGTTTTTTGGTGTTTGTCCTTTTAACCATTTTGATGAGCAGCAATGAGTGCTGCCTTCGAGACATTGGCTCGCTGCGGGATCATTGGACACAAGGCAAGGCGACATATTCTGGAGTTATTCAGTTTCTAAACAGCAGAAATCTGGGCCTGGACCGCGGTGAGGCCGGCCACGTTGATCATGGAGCATCAGATTCAGGCAACTCAGTTCAGTGCAAACCATTTCCAAGCACTGAGTGTCAGTTAGCTGGTCCGTGTGTGAACCATGTCCAAACATTACCATCGTGGTGGAGGCCCTGGCACTGACGACTACAAGGTCTACAGTCCTGACAAGGTGAAGGCCATGTTTTCATGTCACCATTAGGGCAAAACAACAGTTTTTACCCTTTCCAGTAGTCAAATGTGCGTTTGCCAGTCACAACAATGGCATTCCAGGAGCTGCTCGTGCAGGGGCAGTTTATGCTGCCAGATTCTGCATTTTTTTGTTTCAATCGCATGGAAGAAGGCCGGGCACGTTCCAACAGAAGCAGCAATAGACATTAAACTGAGATATCAATAACATGTTTTCTTTTCAGTTTTTGGGCCAGGTATATTCCAACCGGACCAGCGCCCATGCTGTGTGCTTACAGGACTTGAGGAGCAGAAAACGTCAGATTGGAACACTGTGTTCCTTAGATTCAGTAATCAGTCCTTGGCATTGGTTTTGCATGGAACTTTGTTGTGCGATTCCTACCAGTAGCTTTAAATTACTGAGCGCCGCAATGATTTTTGTTAGGTGCTTATTCCGCAACGCTGGCGTGTGGATTGCAGACTGGCCATGCAACCGTGAGCAGGTTTCCATCCTGGCAGAGAAGACTGAAGTTTATGGCAAAGTTGTGGTAGTCACTTCGTGTGAGAACCTGAGTGTCCATGATTCTGTGAGGGTGTCTGAGCTTCGTGAAGGCTCACATAGTTTCCAGTTTGTGGAGCTGTGCGTGCCAAAGTTCCGGGCTCTGTTGCATTGTGGATTGGGGATTTCTTCCGAAGCTCGGCAGTAGCATTTTGATTTTGAATCCCCGCTTCGTGCCCAGCTTTCAGGCCAAAAGTCATCGTTTGTCACTTTGACTGACAACCAACCAGTCTTCTATGACTCCAGTGGCTGGCAGTTTTTTGGTGCAGGGCCTTTGCATGGGGGCCACTTTCAAATTCGTTCCTCAAAGAAATGTGTCAGGTGCAGTGTTTTCTTTAGGCTCCAGGACCTGGTCCCAGTCACAATGCCTGTGAGTAGGGTGGTTGAAGCCACCGAGTCTGAAGAGGAGGACTTGGCGCCTATGAAGCAGCGGCCTGAGATCTTGCCATTAACATGTGAAAACGAATACTGAAAGCTGCTTTGGAAGTTTGGGGTGTTGTTTTATATAGACCCCGACGATTATGTAGTTATATATTCTCTTATGTAACTTATGTATTCTCAGAGGTCATTGAAGAGAAAGCTGCAGCCCTCGCGACAAGTTCCCAAACCGATGAAGGTGCCACATTGTGTTTGACGACTGGCATTGAATGAATATTGTTTTGCAACTTTAACTTTCTAGCATCGTTTGAGGCAGTGAAGAGGCGCCCACTGGGTAGAGGTAGCTTGAAAAAGAAAGTGAAAGGAAAGAATCAGAAACTGAAGTCTGTTTGGCACCGGACTGGGACTGAAACCTTGCCTAAGTTTGGCTGTGCGGTTTCAAAGTCAAAACAGACGTTGCTGATCACCCCTGCTAATGTGAAGCTGGGGAAAGCTGCGCCGCTGAAACTCCGTGTCTGAGTCCAAGTGAGCATTTTTTCTGATACTTGGCCATAATAGTACTTGGCCTATGACTTTGTGATTTGAGGTTTCCACGCAGTTGACGGGTGCCAAGCCCAAGCTCCGACAACGATGGAAGAAGGTTCATGCTTTTTCAGGGACCCGCTACTTCAAAAGCTGGAGTTCAATTCGTGCAGGCCTCAAAAATTAGAGATCCAATCATTACTAGTTGCAGCAGGTGTTTGCTAGTGTCAGCTTCTAGGTGTGTTCAAAGCCACCACTCGGGCAAGCGATGCACCTTCTACTCGCGGAATTTGGGCTGGGGTCTGAATGACAGTTTTGAACTTTGCAATCGATCTGAATTCGAACATCTTTTAGGATTTTGCCAATCAAATTCGTTGGAGCTCTGACTATGTCAACGAGTGCAAGAAGGTTGGCAAGAACCCTGGGACGTTTCTAAGCCCGGCTGCTGGAGAATTCTTCTCAGGCCTTTGGGAACTTCACCTTCTAAGTTGGTGTTGTCTTTCAAAGTGATACTGACTTGCGCATTGAATTTGGCAGATGACGAATGGTTTGAGTAACGCTACCTGTCAATGTTTGGTTGGAGGTCTACCGTTGAATTGGACATCTGTGAGGGACGCTGTCAACAAGGAGCGCTTCTTCCAGCAGTTTCCTGACATGAAGAGCAGCAAGGCCCTTTGAATTTGGTCTCTGTCTTCCCTGCCTCTTTTCCCTTTGCATTCAAACCTTTCTTTTTTGAATGCCAGGCAGCCTCAAAGGTTCCCGTGATTGCTATGTTTGCTGGATGTGGAGGGCTTGAACTGGGCCTTTCAAGGCCTGTGAGTGCTATGTTGCATGTTCCATCAAAAGCGTTCAACGACCTGTCCGTTGTGTTTGGTTTCATTGCCAGGTATGTTTCTGCAATTGCCTTTGTCATCGACTTGGTTTTTTCCGATTCCAGTTCTTACTTTCAACTTTGAGGTGGCCTGCAGAATCGAACTGCACCGGGATTAGTATTTTGTAGCTTTTTACGTCGGGCCACGGGCCAAGGTCGAACGAGACAGCTACTGTCAGCAAATTTTGAAGAAAAGGATGGATGAGGGATTGCTGGAGAGAGTGGAGATCCATTCTGATGTGACTACCTACGATGGTTCCAAGTCCCGCGCGTTGGGCTGCGGAGGGGGCTTCCCTTGTCAGGCAGGAGTTAGTTTATGATTATTCTTTCCAATGCTTCCAACGTTTGTCCTGTCAGGGAGTTTCGACAGCGTCCGCCCAGGGTGGGCTCAAGGACAAACGCACCGGACTTGTCAAACACATTTTTCGTGTGTTTGACACACTTCCGCAGAAACAGCAGCCACGAACTCAGGGTTCCGGGTTCTGCAGAGTTTGTGGATTTGCAGTTTATTCTCAATGGTGTTCTCTTACTGTTGTTTTTGGTATTTTTCTGGCACCGTTTCTCATGAGGCGCTTTTTGTACTTTGAAAACGTGAAGGCCCTGCTCGGGAAGAAGCAGTCAATGCGGAATCTCTTTCATTACGTTGCCCAGGACTTTTGTGTGCTTTATAATTTTCAGTGAGCAGTGAGCATCAGAATCAGTGAAACTGTTGCCGCTCCAAACTGTTAGGCTAACATGTGGCCAGGAGATCTCTGCCCGCAACATGGTGTTGCATTGGGCAACGGTATCGCTGTCCAACCTGGGCCTGGCAGCTCCTTGCCTTAAGTTACCTGACCTTTGAACCTTTAGAACTTAAATGGATACCCGAAATTAAGATATGATATGATGGCAATGAAGGAATAATCAGAAAGAGTTTAAACCACTTGACGTTGGTTGAAACTTGAGTTTCTCAGTTACTCCATTTCCAGGCCAACAGGGGCCGGGTGTTCTTGTGGGGCACTTTGCCAAATGACCAGACTTTGTGCAAGGATTGATCACCGTTTCATCTTCAATGCTCACCATGTTGTATCTCTTAAGATTTTGCAGGACCTGCGCTTGGAGCCTTTGGCGTCCTATTTGCACCAGTCAGGGGTTTGGAACGAGTACAACCAGGTTCCCAAGCATTTGTGGCTTGAAGAGGCACCAAGTGAGGACCATGATTCACGCATGAAAGTCCTTGGAAATTTGGTGGTGCCTTGTTGTGCCAAGCTCGGAGCATCGATTGCCTTGGGATTGGCCAAGTCCTATGACCAGGAAGCTTAAAGCGTCCTTGACTTGCCAATTTATTTTAGAATTTGCCACGAGAAGCAGTTTGCAGTTGCCAGCCTGGTTGATTTCAACCGTGGTCTCAATGGGCCCTGAACGGGAAAACATCACAGTTCTCAGTCACTCAGGTTCACACAATACTAGTTTGCTTCAGCTTGGTTTACACTTTGCGCCATTGACTTGGTTATTTGTTTGGTGCATCTCTGATGGCTCTCAGTCCCAAAGACGTAACTATATTGGACCCAATTTGAATCAATTTTGTTGGCAGTTCATGGTGAAACAACAGGTAGATTTTCAGCTGTCAAGTTTGAGACTGAGATTCAATTATGGCATCGCATACCCCTGGCCGGAAGCGGAAAGTGGAGGAAACTTGTCCTTGCCAGACTGAAGGAGCTTCCTCAAAGGACCAGGCTCAGCTAGTCAACGGGAAAGTACGGACTACTGGCTTGAACGCTGTATTGTTTCCTGGCTGCGTCAAGTGTTACCGTGCAGGCTAGATTCTTTATTGACATTTATGAGACTAGTTGACTTTCTTCGAGATTGCGCAGTATTGCTGTGTTCGCTTAGGGTGCCTCGTGATACATTTGTTACTGCCAAGTGGCATGGGCAGCAGAGTCTTGGCATAATAGTTTGATACGATCGAGCATTTTGAAGCCACTTGCTCTATTCTGACACTTTGAAACTGTGACAGCTCAGGGTTGGTCAGTTTTCTTTTGACAAAGTATGTATTGCTATGTATTGCGATGGACGTTCCAGCCTTCAGGTGGGAATGGTCGTGGACTTTTCTGGAATGGTTTCCGTCTAGTACGTCGAACTTGGCAGCGCAAACAATAGGCTCCAAGCAGGGGAACGAGGAGGCTTCAGCTGTGAGTGGTCAAAGTTAGAAAGCGGGCGTTTGTCGTTCAAGTCTTGAAAGCTAGAAACCAAGCATTAGAATCGTGCAAAAGGGTTCAGCTGCCAACTCAGCTCTGCTGCATTTTTACTGGAATGGTGGCTACAAACTGTGGAGAACATTGATCGCGTGTTAGAGTCGTACTGCTGCTGTGCTTTTAGAGGCTCCTATGTTTTTAGTAAGAATGATGGCAAGCGATCTAAACAGCTGCCTTCATGACCCTATTCTTCGCAACAAGCAGGATTTTAGATTTGAAAGGAAACAATGCTACCATTGAATTGGATATTACAATAAACACCCGTTCATTTCTATAAATACCAACCCAAGACTCAATTGAAAAATAGAAGGGCTTTCACAGAATCGACATGACTGTTGAGCTGCCTACTATGTAAGGCACGTAGGAACAAAGAACTTTCTGTTGATTTTGCCTCACCCTCCCGGCATGGCGCGATGCCATGCTGCGTCGTACTATCACGGACTTGTCAGAGTCCACAGCAGAGTCCGAAGAGGAGGTTCAATCTACCAAGAGGGGTGCGAAAAGGAAAGCTTCAGGCGCTCAAAGGTTCGACTTGGATGACCCAGTAGGTCTCCAAGTCTTGTTGTCCAAGCCTTGCGCTACCCAGGGATGCACCAAAAGATGCAAAGATCACTTTTTGAAGGGAAGCCGGTTTGGGAGTTTGCTGGATTTTCATAAGAAATGGAAAGCTTACCACAAACTTGACCGAGACCAAATGGTAACTTGAATCAAGTTAGTGCCAAACAAGTTTCAATTCAGCTTTCAGTTTTAAGTCTCACAAGTTTTTCCGAAAAAATAGAAGGGAACCGGGGAATGGCCTTCAAGGTATTCGATGAAATCAAGGCCGTTGAGTCAGCCAGGGAGCACGCCAACAAGTCGAGCTGCTCTTGGGAATTTCTGGGGCATCCGGTGTGTTTCAAGGCTTGGAAACAGCTTCATGGCCTTGGCCACCAGGCTTTAATTTATATTCCTTTATGTTCCTGGACTGGAAATATCATTTCATGTTGTCTATACAGTTTGGGGCTCAAAACACGTTGCAAAAGCAATTGCCTTACAAATCATTATGATGGTATATTGTTAACATTCATTGTTGCTATGTTTCTTTTCCTCCTTTTGCTCAGGAAATGGCAGGTGTGAAAGACTAGCTCGAGCTGTTCGACAGGGGTTGCCCGCACCGCCAGCGGATTTGAGGTACCTGAAAATCAGGAAACACGATCAGTCAAGGAGCTTAGAAGTTACTGCTGATGTCATGGAGTTTCTTCGCAAAATTTACTGCAGCGTAGCCGAGACCCTCCCTGACGTCAAAGATGGTACTTTGTCAGATGATGACATGGAGGATGAGTCAGTTTTCAAGTTGGTGGCAACTCAACCCTTAGAGTCAGAACCATATGCGGATTTCAATACTTTGCGCTTGAAAGTGGAGGCAACCATGGAGCCACTCCCTTCCTCTGGAAAGAGAGCCAAGCCAAGGAAGATGAGAAAGTCAATCCCTATCAGAGAGGGAAGAACAACTGCTGAGTTTGAGGAGAGGTATCTACCACCAGGCACCATGCAAGAGTACTTTGTGCAGTATGTGCGACAATCTGCTTTGGAGCAGCCAGCGAGCTTTCCATCGTTCTGGCGAGCGCCTAGTTTGTAATTTGATGCGACAGTGATTTTATGACTGAAGTCAGTGATACACGTTTTTGTGCGACATGCAGTTCTAAATTTCTGTTGGTTGCTGACCAACACTAGACACAAAAACGCGCGCGCACACACGAGAGGTCTGGGCTTCAAACTATTCATTTTTGAAGTTCCGCAGTGCATCCTCCCACTCAATCTGCACGGAATGCTACAAACACAAGGCCTTGATCAGTGCACTGAGCAGGCACATCAGTGCACGACGAACCCAAGAGTCTCTTTATCACCAGCACCTGGAAGATCAATTCAGAGATCGAATTTGTTATTGGGAGGCAAGGGGTGAGAGCAGGTCACAAAGCAGCCGGGTGACCTTGATCATAGATGGAATGGATCAAGGAAAGTTTGGGCTGCCACGGCATAAGAGCGTCAACACCAAAGCTCTGTCTGGCTTTCAAAGGCCACGGTTGCACGTGGCAGCAGCCATATGCCATGGCCACTTCATCTCAGCATATGTCACGGATGGAGACCTGTGCAAGGACTCCAACACGTCGATGGAAATGCTATCCCATTGCTTGGATATGCTTGGCGGCCGAATCTCCCTCCACACTTGTGATTTGGTGATCCAATGCGACAACACATATCGCGAAGTCAAGAACAACCATATCTTCAGGTGGGCCGCCGCGGTTGTATCATGTGGGCTTGTCCGCTCCCTTACGGTTAGCTCCTTAAGGAGCGGACACTCACATGAAGATATCGATCAGCTTTTTGGCCAGATCGCAACGTTCCTCAAAACCCAGAGATCACGAATGACTCCAGAAGACTTTGTCGACAGCCTCAAAGTTTGCTTGTCTGGCCTTCAACGGCCATTTGAGAAGGAACGACATGTTTGGAAGCTGGATCAAACCAGAGATTGGTTTCTGGGACTTGCTTTCAGCAAACGGTTTGCTCCACACGTGACACACCACCTCACCAACACCACCTCACCACCTCAGTCCTGCCCAGCAGATATATTCAAGTAACCGCAGCACAGTTCACACCTGACGCTTTGAGTTGGAGTTTGAAACCAAGATTTGAGTCTGTGCTTAGGCGTGGTTGGCTTTTGAGCGGCATCCCTGCGAGCATGAAGGGTGTTGGTGGCCCTGGAGCGCCGCATATCTTTGAGTTCCATCGACTCTGTAACACAGGCGCGGTTGCTTTCAGAGTGCGTGTGACTCAACACCTGGTCTTGCCATGAATTCTTCATTGGCCTTCAGAGTTTCAAACCACTGAAGGCATTGAGACGAAGAACATCTTGGAATATGCCAAGTTCAAGAAGCATCAGTTCCACCCACATGACGTTATTGTTAGGAGCCATGTCTGTTTGATTCGGGTGCTGTCAGATGTACCTAGTGCTCGTCGTTTGGCTTACCTTTTTTCGAGGAGCCTAGGATTGGATCCATACAATGACAACCTCACTCCTGTGGTAGTGTTGTGAAGGTTTTTCACACCATTATTAGGTTCAAAGGATTCTTGAGATTGTTCATAAATTGACGGCGCTAAGGACGAAACAATGGATGGCAGGTCGGAGGTATTTTCCTGCTTTGCGATTCTACCCTAGAGAGCTGGCAGAACAAATCTTGCCGGCCGGACTTCCAACAGGCGACCACTGGTTGGTTGTTGTTTGCTGATGAATTTACATGATAAATTTTACATGTCTTACAAGTTTACAAAGAAACGGCAATGCTTGGATTTCCTTTTTGTCAGTTGTGGCTCCTCGCAAAGATCTTGGAGACGACTATCGCGACCATGTGCTCAAATACACACCGATCATGCGGCTACCAGAGATTGGGTTGGGCCGAGCGGCCGATT